GTGCAGCTGACTTGAGCAAGGGGGAGATGCTCTTGACTTGCTACACCGACGCTAGCTTCAACTCTGTGAAGTCGGATGGCACCAGCATTGGAGGCTATGTGTGCCTCTTTGGAGGTGGTGCAGTGAGCTGGCGCAGCAAGAAGCAGAACGAGGTGGGGCTGTCCTCGTGTGAGACCGAGTACATGGCCCTTCATCATGGGGCAAAGGAGGTGGTGTGGCTGAGGCGTTTGTTGGAGGAAATCGGAGTGTGTCAGAGGGAGCCGACTGTGATTTTCTGTGACAATGAGTCGGCAGTGAAGCTTGCGAAGAATGCCTGTCTTCATGGCCTGACAAAGCACATCAGGCCCAAGTGGCATTGGCATAGGATTTTCCTCCTCAGATGAAGGCTCTGGCAGAGGAATTCAAGGAGGTTTTCGAACCAATTCCTGATGGACTCCCCCCAGACCGCGCAGTGGGTCATACCATTCCAGTGGAGCCTGGAAAGGCACCACCGTTTAGACCTCTGTATCGCCTCAGTCCAGCTGAGTACGAAGAGGCTAAGCAACAAATCGAGGATTATCTGAAAAATGGATGGATTGAACCAAGCGCATCACCATATGGAGCACCAATCTTGTTTGTTAACAAGAAGGGCAGAGGCCTACGCATGTGCGTCGACTATCGCGCCTTAAACAAGATCACAATTAAAAAAGATATCCGCTACCTCGCATTGAAGATCTGTTTGATCGCCTCCAGGGTGCCCAATGGTTTAGCGCATTGGACCTCGCACAGGGGTACCATCAGTTGCGCATCACCAACGACGATGTACCCAAAACAGCGTTCCGCACGCCATTTGGGCATTTTCAATGGCGTGTGCTGAGTTTCGGTCTGACCAATGCACCGGCCTCTTTTCAGAGAGCGATGAATGATGTCTTTCGTGAGGCAATCGGTCAGTTCGTCTTGGTTTACCTCGACGATATACTGGTCTATTCCAAGACCGAACAAGAGCACACAGAACACCTAAAATGGGTGTTAAACAAACTACGAGAGCACAAATTCTATGCTCGTTTGTGGAAGTGCCACCTCTATAAACGCGAGTTAGAATATCTGGGACATCTCGTGGGGAACAGTGGATTGGAAGTCGATCCCAAGAAAGTGGCGGCTGTTGAGAACTGGCCCGTTCCACAGGACGTGGGTCAAGTTAGGTCCTTTCTGGGCTTAGCCAATTATTTTCGCCGTTTCTTGGAGAATTATTCAACCATCGTTGCCCCATTGACCGCACTTACTCGAAAGGGTACTGCGTGGGAATGGACCAGACAATGCCAAGAGGCATTTGAAGCGGTCAAACAAAAGTTGACCAATGCTCCCGTTCTGGTATTACCAGATCCAACAAAACCCTACGAGGTAGTAACAGACGCCTCAACAGTAGGGATTGGCGCAGTCCTTTTGCAAGAAGGACGCCCTATGGCATACGAGAGTAGAAAGCTCTCCCCGGCCGAGCAGCGCTATACGACTTCCAAACAAGAGCTATTGGCAGTCGTGCATGCGCTACGAACATGGCGATGTTACTTGGAAGGTGTGGACTTTGTTGTCACAACTGACCATTGTCCAAACACCTACTTTTCCAGCCAAGCCACCCTCACTCGTCGCCAAGCCCGATGGGCTGAACTCCTTAGCGGATTCATCTACGATATTCGGTATCGGGCAGGCTCGACGAACATGGCTGATCCCCTCAGCAGACAGCCGATAGGGGCAGCAAACGGGCTTGAGGATACCGAACATGCTGCCGTCTTTGCAGCTTACTTTGGTATCCTCGCGGTCGCCCGACTGAGTGAGATTACCTTCAGTGGTTTTCTGAAACGAATCCGCACAGGCTATCAGATTGATTCCTGGTTTCAGAACCCACAGAATACGAAGGATCTCTCGTGGGAGCATGAGCTCTGGTGGCATGGTAAAGAAATTGTCGTACCACACGTGGGGAACCTGCGGAATGACATCTTACAAGAAGTGCATGCCAGTAAATACAGTGGACACCTCGGAGTTAAGAAAACTCGATGGGCATTGTCTGATGTATACTGGTGGCCAGGGTTGGGCAATGAAGTCCAGCAGTTTGTTACACGCTGCGACACGTGTGCACGTAATAAACCGAGCACACAAAAACCCGGTGGTTTGCTTCAACCACTTGCAATCCCTGATGAACCTTGGGAGAGTGTATCAATGGATTTCATCACTGACCTCCCTAAAACACGATATGGTCATACAGCGATCCTCGTCTTCGTAGATCGTTTGACCAAGATGGTGCACTTCGTGCCTACAACCATTGATGTATCAGCGGAAGATACGGCTAAGTTGTTTGGAGACCCTCGTTTCACAAGCCGTTTCTGGCAGGAGGTCATTCGGACACTGGGGACGAAGCTGAAAATGTCGTCGGCATTCCACCCTCAAACGAATGGGCAGACCGAGCGCACAAATCGTACTCTTGAACAAATGCTTCGTTCGTTTATTGGCCCAACACAAGATGATTGGGATGAGCTGTTGCCAGTCGTGGAGTTTGCTGTCAACAACTCGGTGCATGAGAGCACCCATGAGAAACCTTTCATCTTAAACTGTGGTCGGCACCCCACAACACCTGCTACGCATGGGGTCAGTGGCTTGAAAATACCAGCCACTAAGGACTTTATTAGCAAGCAGCAAGAAGCGCTTAAGTCTGCTCGTCGTTGGTTGCAACTTGCCCAACAACGCCAAAAGTCTTATGCTGACATGAAACGCCGGGACGCCTCTTTTCAAAAGGGAGACAAAGTTTTGTTGAGTACGAAGAACATTCGACTCAAACTACCTGGGGCACGAAAACGGTTTCCTCGTTGGATTGGGCCATTCGAGGTTATCAAGCGGTTGGGGAGGTGGCTTATAAGCTTAAGCTACCAGACACCTTGCAGATTCACAACGTCTTCCACGTGTCTCTGTTAAACAAGTATGTTGCCGAAGGCACATACCAACCACCACCAACCATCGTCCTGGGCGAGGAACTATATTATAAAGTCGAGCGTGTGCTCATGCACCGTGATCGACAACGCGGCCGTAAAACCAAACGTGAGTTCCTCATTAAGAGGAAAGGCTATGGGCCTGAACACAATTCCTGGGAGCCCGAAGAACACTTGACTGCAACAGCAGTTCAAGCTTACATGGAAGACTTGGCTCTCCGAGCGGCCGCGCAGCCAGTGGATGGTGTTGACCCTGGTCGTAATGTGGTGCGCCGTGCTCGAAGCACTCGTCCTCAGAAGCACCCTAGGGCAACGGGGACGTTGCCACCTAGGGGGGGAGGAGAAGTGTAACGCATTGCCCTAACTAAGCTAACTAACCAACTTCCCTCTAGGCAAATGTCGAGAGTAATCTCGACAAAGAGGGACTTGGAGAAGAAGGTTGGCTTTGGTTGGGATGGAGGGGTTGGTTTGGTTTTCCAAACCTCAACCAAGAGGATTGGGAAACTCCAACCCATCAAAGTGAAATCACAAAGGTTGGAATTCCAACCAATCAGAAACTGCCAAACAATTGTTACAATCTACTCTATCCTAAACACAACCATTGAATGGTTCTAAGTTGGGTTTTCCAACCCAACACAATTGCCACATAGGCTCCAAGCCTAGGAACCCTCCCACCATGGAAACCATGGTTGGGATAGTTCCCCAAGGGATGTATTGAGGGGGTCTGAGCTAAGCAAGGCCATTCTCAACCTCCCACTCCAACTAAACAATTGGAAATGGGATTAAGGAAAGAACAAAGGAACTAAGGAAGTTTGGAAGGCGAGAGTCGCGGAAGGAAATAGGGCGCTGAGAGTTGGGCTGGTGGGAAGTGCGGAAGGAGGAGCAGTGGGTCAGGGTGGGAAGGGAGGAGGCAGGGAGCAGTGGGAGCGGGGAATGGGGAATGGGTGTTGTGGGGGGGAGAGGGGGGGGGCGGGGGTGAAGGGGGGGAGTGGGTGGGAGAAAGGGGGATGTCCTGCTACTCTTGCGGGTAAAGTTTAACGGGGAAGGACGTGTGGCAGGGGGGGGTGGGTGGGGGAAGGGGCGCAGAGAAGATTCGTATATGAGAAAGGAAATTGTGTGGGGACAAGATGGGGGTGAGGGGAAGGAAGGGCCATGGGTTGGGGGCGCGTATGGAAGAGAAGCGCGGGTGGCTTTTGGGTGGCTTTTCGACTCAAAAGTCACCTCACGGGTGGGCAGGTGCGCTGCCATGGGTGGAGGGCGCGTATGCAAGAGACGCGCGGGTGGGCAGGTGCGCTGCTGGTTGAGGCGGGGAGGGAGAGATAGTGGCAGGTCGACCGATAGCACACCAGGTGGCACTGATGGGTTGGGAGCGGTGGAGAAGCTGGTAGAGAGGAGAGTCTGCGGAACGGATTGGGATAGCTGCGCTAGGGTTTACCTCTTGATGGTGATCGACTAAAACAGGCAGGGAGGGTGGTACGCAGCTAGAGGGTAGGAGAGAGGAGCAGGAAGCAAAAGAGCAGGTTGCATGGGCAGGGGTTGAGGGTTGCGGGACTGCGCAGGGAAGGCAACAGAAATAGCAGAGGGGATGGGCAGGGGATTAGGGGTGGACACGCAGGGTGAGCATGGGTGCTGCATGAATTGGTGTTGCAAGCATGTGTGCTGGTCCTGTGCAGAGAGCAATATTAGTCATTTCCCAGCGTTGACAAGCTCAGGAGCTTGGGTGGTAGAATCAAGGGGCACGTGATGATGAGGAGTGAGGGGAAATGTGTAGCTACACATGCTCGCGGTGTACCGAAGATGGTTGTACATATCAGAGGCAAATATCGCCAGGACTCCACCACGTGACATGTAACTCCCTCACGTAGTCAGACCTCCCTCTATCCCCCACTCCTACTCCTCCCTCCACCACCTCTCGCCCACCTTCTACGCACTTCCTCACCGCCTCTTGCCTTCCCATAGGTCTTGGTGTGCAAGCGTCTGCATCGCGTTATTATATCATCGATAGACAGGCCAGATTTCAGCATCACATAGCATCACGTAATCATGTTTCTTTGGTCGTGTCAAACTTTATATCTGGGTCCACACCACCCTCCTGTTTCTCTCCCCCCAATTCCAGCTGTTCCAGAACGCACACTACTGCACGGCTACAGCCCCCTTCTTGCATTCGAGCACACACTGCAAGAGCAGGTGATGGCTGCAGCAGCTGCTAGGCTGTGGCTGTGGGGTTGCGGGCCTTACTGTTTGTCCATGGCGATGCGGGCAGCAGTGGCTGCACAGCAGCACTCACTCACGCCTTACAAGAGGGTCCGGCCAAAGGCACAGCACGGCACGGCACGGCACGGCACGGCTTTGGCAGAGCACTGGCTGCCAAAGCCGTGCCGTGCCCTGCACAGCAGCACCCACTCACGCCGTGCCGTGCCCTGCACAGCAGCACCCACTCACGCCGTGCCGTGCCCTGCACAGCAGCACCCACTCACGCCGTGCCGTGCCCTGCACAGCAGCACCCACTCACGCCGTTCCGTGCCCTGCACAGCAGCACCCACTCACGCCGTGTCGTGCCCTGCAAAGCAGCACCCACTCACGCCGTGCCGTGCCCTGCACAGCAGCACCCACTCACGCCGTGCCGTGCCCTGCACAGCAGCACCCACTCACGCCGTGTCGTGCCCTGCAAAGCAGCACCCACTCACGCCGTGCCGTGCCCTGCACAGCAGCACCCACTCACGCCGTGCCGTGCCCTGCACAGCAGCACCCACTCACGCCGTGCCGTGCCCTGCACAGAAGCACCCACTCACGCCGTACCGTGCCCTGCACAGCAGCACCCACTCACGCCGTGCCGTGCCCTGCACAGCAGCACCCACTCACGCCGTGCCGTGCCCTGCACAGCAGCACCCACTCACGCCGTGCCGTGCCCTGCACAGCAGCACCCACTCACGCCGTGCCATGCCCTGCACAGCAGCACCCACTCACGCCGTGCCGTGCCCTGCACAGCAGCACCCACTCACGCCGTGCCGTGCCCTGCACAGCAGCACCCACTCACGCCGTGCCGTGCCCTGCACAACAGCACCCACTCACGCCGTGCCGTGCCCTGCACAGCAGCACCCACTCACGCCGTGCCGTGCCCTGCACAGCAGCACCCACTCACGCCGTGCCGTGCCCTGCACAGCAGCACCCACTCACGCCGTGCCGTGCCCTGCACAGCAGCACCCACTCACGCCGTGCCGTGCCCTGCACAGCAGCACCCACTCACGCCGTGCCGTGCCCTGCACAGCAGCACCCACTCACGCCGTGCCGTGCCCTGCACAGCAGCACCCACTCACGCCGTGCCGTTCCCTGCACAGCAGCACCCACTCACGCCGTGCCGTGCCCTGCACAGCAGCACCCACTCACGCCGTGCCATGCCCTGCATAGCAGCACCCACTCACGCCGTGCCGTGCCCTGCACAGCAGCACCCAATCACGCCGTGCCGTGCCCTGCACAGCAGCACCCACTCACGCCGTGCCGTGCCCTGCACAGCAGCACCCACTCACGCCGTGCCGTGCCCTGCACAGCAGCACCCATTCACGCCTTACAGGAGGCTGGTGCGGAGGGGCAGGGCATGGCTTGGGCAGGGCACGGACAGACGGGGAAGTGGCGAGGAGATGCTGGTGCCGTCGGCACGGCGGAAGTTCTATGCTGAGTCTACTTTTGAGAATTCTCTAAAGTAAACTCGGTGCATTGCTGCTGCTATAGGGGCTAGCAGTGGAGGCGACATGGCGGCTGGTAGGATTTGGTGAGGCTGGTGGGAGGAGGGTGAGGGCGCGAGGCTTGCTTGCGTGGGAGGGCCGTAGACAAGGTGGGGTAGGCGCATGGGCGATGGGATTGGCAGGCAACTAACGTACGTTCTCTTAGTACTAATCATATAGGTAAGGAACAAAAATTTTCTGGGGGGAGAGTGGGAAAGGGGATGTGGTGTGGTGTGGGAGGAGGATGGGATAATTGCTACTGGTGGGGGCAGAAGGGGAAGGGCATGTGAGGGAGAAGATTTGGGGGGGAGAGAGGAGGGATGGGAATAGGAAAATTGGCAGGCAGACGGAACGGCAGTGGGGGGAAACGCACGGAGAAGAGAGTTGGAGAACGAGAATTGGCAAGGCTCGGCTTAACTAGCAGCATGGGGAACGAGAGCTGTGTGTGCTCTTTTGGGGGAGAGAGAGGCTGGGATGTACATTCCTGGGATGGGAGGCAGGGAGACGGGGAAAGAGTGGCAGGCTGGGAGTCGAAGTGCAAGGTGCGTGCTGCAGCGTGGTGGGAGGTGAGAGGAAAGCAGAGAGAAAAGGCAGAGACGGGAAGGCAGAGACGGGAAGGCAGAGACGGGAAGGCAGAGAGGGAAGGCAGAGAGGGAAGGCAGAGAGGGAAGGCAGAGAGGGAAGGCAGAGAGGGAAGGCAGAGAGGGAAGGCAGAGAGGGAAGGCAGAGAGAGAAGGCAGAGAGTTGTGTGGAGGAGATGCTGGAAATGCAGTTTAAATGCTCGAAGATGGGAGATGTGAAGTACTACCTTGGGATGCATGTGGAGAGAGACCTTGACAAGGGAGTGTTGAGGTTGAACCCGAGGAAGTATTGTGAGGGGCTGGCCGAGAAGTATGGGCTGCAAGATAAAGGGAAGCCAGCCACCCCACTGCCTTCGGGGTTCACTGTGGAGCCCTGTGCTGATGAGGAGGTGGTGGGGGAGAGTGACAGGAAGCTGTTTCATTCCATGGTGGGGGCACTCAACTACGCGGCTAACCACACGCGGCCTGACATTGCCTTTGCTACATCCAGGCTTGCTAGTGTGGTTTCACGCCCCAGTCATGAGCAGCTGGAAGCGGCCAAGAGGTTGGTCCGCTATGTGAGCGCTACAGCATCAGTGGGCTTGGAGTACAGTGCTGTGCGACAGAGGCTGCAGAGGGGTGCAGCTGACTTGAGCAAGGGGGAGATGCTCTTGACTTGCTACACCGACGCTAGCTTCAACCCTATGAAGTTGGATGGCACCAGCATTGGAGGCTATGTGTGCCTCTTTGGAGGTGGTGCAGTGAGCTGGCGCAGCAAGAAGCAGAACGAGGTGGGGCTGTCCTCGTGTGAGACCGAGTACATGGCCCTTCATCATGGGGCAAAGGAGGTGGTGTGGCTGAGGCGTTTGTTGGAGGAAATCGGAGTGTGTCAGAGGGAGCCGACTGTGATTTTCTGTGACAATGAGTCGGCAGTGAAGCTTGCGAAGAATGCCTGTCTTCATGGCCTGACAAAGCACATCAGGCCCAAGTGGCATTGGACAAGGAGGTGCGGCTGGAGCTTGTGAAAACCCAGCAGCAGGCGGCTGACATTCTCACCAAGCGCCTGGCAGAACCTGAGCATTGGAAGGGCATGAAGCTTGCTGGAATGAGTGTGCATTGAGGGTGCATGCTTGAGCTATAGCATGTGGGATGATGGTTGGCAGCCAGAGGGGGAGTTTGTTGTGTGATGCAACCATATGCATTCACGTCTGTCTGCCTCCCATCATGTGTTCGTGCGTTGCATGCGTGGTGTGAGCGTGTGCAAGAATTTGTGCTTTTTCGCGGTTTGGATTTCCTGAGTGTGTGCGAATGTTATTTGGCCTGAGCAGATACCTGAAGTGACTCATCTGCTCGAGAGCTTTCCGACGAGCCAAGAATCGTCGCGATCGGAGCAATATCAAGAAAGTTACGAACGTTGGAGTTCGTATGCTTTCTGTACTTTGGTTGCGGCGACTATGAGAAGTTGTGGGGTTTGCTCCATAAGGGGTATAGACTTTTGGGGGTTGGGAAATTCGAACCCATCACTGTAGATGCTGCCATGTGGTTGGGTGAAGCCAAACCAGGTTGGCAAGTGTTGTCAGAATATTATGCTCCAGCCTGCAGTGGGGTGCTCTATAGCGAGTACAACCCTTCTAGGGTTAGCTATTTGTACCACCATTGTTGCTAGTGCAAACCCCTCTCCTTTTGCTTCATTCTCTCTTGCCTAGCTAGGTCAACCCTAGCTATGGCTCCTCATCGTGCTCACTCTCTCGACATGCTATCAGAGCAGGACGATCCAGTTGGGTCGATCCTGTGGGTGGGCCCCACCACCTCAGTCTTCCGCTGCTCCTACTACTGTTTGTGTCGCACGCCCCGTGGCGTGCGACGGATTTTTCATCCCGCCGTGCGCTCGGGGCGTGCGGCGGTTCTTTCTACCCGCCGTTCGCCCCGGACGCGCGGCGGTTTCCTGTCCGCCGTGCGCCCCGAGGCGTGCAGCGGTTTCCTACCGTTGGGGACCCCCGCGCGCCCCCGATTTCCCGTCGCCCGCGGCCCCCCGTTCCCGTCGCCCGCGGCCCCCCCGTTCCCGTCGCCCGCGGCCCCCCGTTCCCGTCGCCCGCGGCCCCCCGTTCCCGTCACTCGCGGCCCCCCGTTCCCGTCGCCCGCGGCCCCCCGTTCCCGTCGCCCGCGGCCCCCCGTTCCCGTCGCCCGCGGCCCCCGATTTCCCGTCGCGCCGCCCTGGGGAGCCGCGCGCGACCCCCCGCTGCCCCTTCGCGGCGCCCTAAGGAGCCGCGCGCGGCCCCTCGCTGCCCCGTGGTGGCGTCCTGGGGGTCGCGCACCGTCCCCCTCGCCGTCCCCCGCGCTCCTTCCCCCGTTCCGCCCGTTTTAGGGTTTGGGGGTGAGGAGTGTGGGGGTGGCGGCTATGGGGGTGTCGGTTGTGAGTTACTCCCCCTGCTCCTCCTCCTCCCTCGTCTCCCTCTGCTACAGCTGCCGCTGAGGGGGGTGGTGTGTGGGAGCCTAGGGTTTGGGGTTTAAGGGGGGTACCGTGGGAGTGGAGCTAGGGTTTGAAGCAGGGGGTGTGTGTCGAGGGGTGTGGGACTGTTGGGGGAGGTTGAGCGGAGGTTGCCGTCGTGTCGTACGCAGCGCCTGTACTCCGGGGCACTCATTCCCGGTAGCTCAGAGAGCCGGTTGCGCCGTCGCCTGTGGGTCCGTTGCTCCTGCCGCGCGTATTAGCCGCGGAGCCTGTTACTCCTGTACTCCGGGGCACTCATTCCCGGTAGCCACTGTGTTGCACCAGAGCCGTCTGTTGCCCGTGTGTCTGCAGCTTCAGTCGTCGCCTCCTAATCTACTCTCCTCTCGCCAGCCCTCCTCCTCCTCACTTGCCCTCTGTGACTGCCTCTAGCTTTGCTCATAATTGTGAACTTGAAACTATTGCTTCTTGAACTTGTGCTCAGAATGTGTGGTGACATCGTGATCCACCCTGAGCTTGTACTGCTTTGCTTGCTGTGCTGATTACACCCCACTTTGGCTATGGGGGTGTGTCAGAATATTATGCTCTAGCCTGCAGTGGGGTGCTCTATAGCGAGTACAACCCTTCTAGGGTTAGCTATTTGTACCACCATTGTTGCTAGTGCAAACCCCTCTCCTTTTGCTTCATTCTCTCTTGCCTAGCTAGGTCAACCCTAGCTATGGCTCCTCATCGTGCTCACACTCTCGACAAGTGTGGTCAAGTGGGTTGAGGTGGATGGCATGGGTTGGGATAGTGACAAATGTGAAAGTGGGGTTGCCTATGGAGAGGGGAATTGTGTGGCATGGGGTTTCCTTTGGTTGGGGACTCCTTGGGACCTTCTCTCTCGTCCTCCTCATCCCCTCCTACCTGGTTTAGTGCCACTCTAACTCTTGTGTGTGTAACTTTTGTGGATCTTGTGTGAACTATTGTGATTGAGTTAAGCTTGTGGCAGCATACCCCCTAGTGCGCCGAAAATCATAACTCGAGATTTACTCCACCATTTGATACGATTCAAATTGGGAAAGATAGCCCTGGTTACAGGCTACAACATACTCGAGTTTGAGACAACTCTAAAGGTGCAATTTTAGCCGACGACGTTTCTTGTGAAGTCGCGGTTTCTGTCCAGAATTTGAAGCCAACGATTTTGTGATATTTCGGCACCTAATCTTCGTAGACTCGATCCTTAATCTCTAACAAACTGGTGGGTCGTTGCACCCAGGAGCACCCATTGACTTCGGTCAGTCTGGTGACTCGAACCATCAAAGGCAAACACTTTCCCATGCTTAAGCGATGGACGGTACTTGCCACGTGGGACAAGGGATATCACATGTGGTGGCCTGGCAGTCGATCCTATGGTCGAGCAAAGCACAATGTCAAGGCTTACTATCTCCCACCAACTCGCATCGTTGCATGCCCCATTCGACCAAAACATCAACAAAACCTATTGCTGGTGGGTCGAATAGACGGGGATGAAGCAAAGATTCTTGTTGATACGGGTGCGACTGTTTCTCTTTTCGATGAAGATAGAGCCACAAGTCATGGGGTCCTCGTTGAAGGGCCGTCTTGCCCCATTCGTCTTGGTGACGATCGAGTCATCCCAAGCAAAGGGCAGACACGTATCAATATGGAAATTCAAGGCTA